CTTTCCCTACGCTGTCTGTGACACCACAACCCCATTTGATGAAGGGCAAATTTCTGTATATTTCACTTAGGTGTTATTCTCATAATTGTGGCAAATCAGACTATGGTTCATGCTAACTTTGCTCTCAACACTCCGTACATTAATATTAGGGGTAAACAGTTTTCGACATAAAGTAAAATTCTATGTGAATCTGAAAAAAAGGGAACATAAATAGCTAACCCCTGGCCTGTCTGTCATGTTAGCCAAACAGAAAATGCACTGAGAAAAATTAGAGTGTTGCTACATTACGCCTGACAGCGGTATGGACAGGACTTCTTCTCACAACCAAGTATGTGGGCATTTGTATGTATTATCTTTAATGAGCATTATGCAATAAGATGTCCAGCCCCAGAATGAAGTGACTGTGAAATTTTACGTGGGCAATTCTGAAATCTCGTAAAAGATCTTGCATTTTTTTGCAATGACTTTAAATTTTGTTAATTGAACTCTTGAATGTGAAATGAAAATCCAGAATTTAGACATTTTGGTTTAGTATTGTGATTGGAGACGACTTCATTCTTTTATTTCGGCTGTGGATTTTATAATAATAATTTCTGTAGAAATTAAAACATGGTTTTACTGGGGGGTATAGTGTGATAAAATGCTTTTGTGACGTCTGTCAGCCATCGGCTATGGACAATGGCATTGTCTGTCTGCCCAACCCTAGTGGAAATAAGACCTAGGTTTTTATGCACAATATTTACAGCCGCAGGGTGGTGTATGAGGGATTGACTCAAAATAAACTGTCAACTAGAGCAACTGTGTAGCTCTTTGGCGTGTTTTAATAGTTGTTGGACAACAGTGGTGGTCAATGGCACAGAGGAATCAGCTACATCAGGCTTTGTACTTTTTATGGAACTTGTTGACAAAAAGAAAAACATACCAGTTTTATCCTTTAAGCCACAATGACGGCTGCAAGCCTCTGCAGCTGTGCCATACTAGCTTTATCATACTGCGACTCCAGATAAGACAAGGCAGTCTGACCCAAAGCTGTGCAGTGACATCTCACACACACACTTACAGTATGTTAAGTGAGAGGGAGACGGAAGTGGCTTCTGTCTGACTCCAGATTGTTTTGTCACTGATAAATGTGTAACAAGGTAAAAGGTCAAACTTACAGCTCTGAACAGAAAGTGTAGCTGCTCCGTCACATCCAATAAAGCGCAAATAAACCAGCTGCTATAGCCAATACAAACTGCACTGACAACAAGACCAGCTGGCGATGCCGGTGCTGTGAGACATTTGCTATGTTGACAACATGGTTAGTGATCATTTATGACATTCTGTTGAACCATTAAGTGTCATTAACAGTCTGTCTGGCCCTTCACAGTATATTTGTAGACACAGGGTTACTTACAAAACCAAGTGGTTCTCCAGCTGTTCTTACAACAGAACAGTGGCTGCTTTAAACAAGTTTCAATTTGTTTGGTTCTCTTCAGGCAGCAAAGGATTACCCTCTCTTTGGGTTTTTCACTACAAGCAACACCTTTCACGCACTTAAGGTAAATGGATCCAATGTTAATATTAAACATTGATTATGGCAGCTGTAAGGCTAAACTTAAGATTTAAATGTCAAATATGCTTCTCCTATTGGCCTAAAATTACAAACTGGCACTCCTGCCAAAAATAAAAATAATATAATTTCAGCCAAGGAATTGTATGAATTGTAACTCCAGGCATGCTCAAAAAGTGGTCCATGAAGAAAGCACTGGTAGTGAACGCCCCATTACCACTACATACTGACAACAAAACATTTAAGTCTTAGCTTACCCTGTCAAATCATGGTCTTTTGAAGCTTTCAAGTCATCAAAACTCATGAATTTGAACTCATATATTTACTGTACTTCACTCTTAAAGTCCTCCTAAGTAAAGGTGCCATTTTATGAAATTGTGCTTCAAAGACACTTTGTGGCCTTTTCAGTAAAAAATACCGCCTTATTTTCCAGAAATCCTGTTTTACTAGTTGTACAGTATAAAGAGAATCAGCAATGTGTGCAACCCGCTGGTTTTGATCAGTGTGTGTTTAATAGATGATGGTTAAAAGGGAAAATAACTACACTGCAATCTACGAGCCATTTCAGACTGTGTTTGGGGCAGTGTAGCATGGCAGATAAAACACCACAGGGGTCCACTTCACTGGCTCCATTTCCAGTCAGGAGAAAAATAATTAATCTTTGGAAAGTCTCCAAACAAAAAAAAAAGAGAGGTAAGTAAGGCAGCAAAACAATAAATACTTCCACAGGCTTCACTCAGTGCAGTGCCCCTTCACTTTGACTTCTTTGTTTAGTTGTAAGTAAAAACATTTCTGATAGTATCCAGTTGCTTCCTCTTAAGTTTTGAGCATGTCAGTGATTATTAGCTGTGTGACTCCTGGCTGTGGTAAATAAGTTACTATGCGGATATCTGCTATTCTAGACTGCTGACATCACTTAAGTCATGTGGAAGTATTCATTGAATTGACGACTAAAACATTCACATCGCCCTAAGAGGCAAAATGCAATAACTACATATTTGATCAAAATTGAGATATAACCAAGCGGCAACCTCTGGGTCTGAAAAGTGAAGCCAATACGTCAAGTGTCTTAAATCTGCATTTTTTCTAATGGCCAGAGTGGGGGAGGCTGCTCTACTGGTTTCAAAAATAAGTCTGACTGTATAGAAGTCTATGAGAAAATGACCCTGCTTTTCACTTTACCTCAGTAAACACTTTCCTAATAAGCTTATGGTCTCAATGACTAGTTTCACATTTTCTGCAATACAGAATGATGTTCATTTAGTAAATTATGGTCCCTTTTAGAGTAAAATAGACAATAAAGCAGGGTATGCTTTAGGGTGTGGCTACCTTGTGATTAACAAGTCGCTACCAGGATAGAGGCGAATTGTATCCACTGCACTATGTACATTTAACTAGCCATGAACTTGTTTTGGGGTGCTGTTGGTGTCTTCATCTAAGAGCTTTGACTCTTTAACAGTGTCTTTTCAGTTCATGAAATTTAATTATAATATTTTGGTCATCTAAAAATGTCTTGTTCAGCGGTCAGTTTAATTAAAAAAACACTCTAAGGAGTCGACTGTTCATTTAAGTACATTTTGTTTTAAGCCTGTTTTTCGCTAATTAAAATTAAGATGCACCTTACTAACCAAGCTAGCTAGCTCCACCCTCTCATTCGAAAATGGTCACTTCTGGTTCCAAAAAAACAAGATGGCGACGGCAAAAATGGCTTTAAAACAGTAGTCCACAAACCAGTGGGTGACATCACAGTGGCTACGTCCCATTCTTTTATACAGTCTATGGTTATAACCTGTATCTGACTTATAAATATTATGCCATAGAAACTTGTAATTTTTTGATAACAGCTTTTTAAATTTGCAGTAACTACAAAATTGACTCAACAAATGTATTGTGGCTCTTTAGTTAATGCATTCTGGCTGCGTAATCTGTACTCTTACTGCAATTTCTGTAATAGAAAGACAGCTAAGAGGGCTATATCAGGTGAAAGCTAGCTTCTGAGATAGCTGCAGATATCCTTAGCTTCAGCTAAAGCTAAGTTTAGTTTCTGATTCTTCCCCAGTTGTTATATGTAAATCAAATTTCCAGTTTGATGAGCTGACATTGTGGTTATTCAGTTTGTTATTCCACATTAAATAAGGCATAAGGCAAATCAATTCATCATTAAGAAGAAGGGGAGAAAAACAGCTAAATAGTAGCTGGCTTAGCAGATCTCAGTGGCTGCCATCTAATTTTCTTTTTAACTCTACTGAATTTTATGTATTAAATTGTAAATGAATGTATTACATTGATTTCAGTCTAAATATTAATAGTACTTGGATAGATGGAAACATACATACATAGAAACCTGGATTCCTAAAAGCTATGGACTATAAATAATAATCCAACTAAAGTAAATTTTTGTTGGTAGATACTTAAGTTTCTTTGAAACAGTGACAATTATCCAAAGGCACGGTGCAGTTTATCTGTATTTTTTAGGTATTGTATAGCTTTGGGATAAAATAATCAGTATAAAAAGACATCAAATTAAAGCAGTACAACCTTTCTATCTGTTTTACAGTTTGCCATCCAGCCTGAAAACGTTAAACCATTTTTTCTCCATTTGACTGCTTCTGCAGTTGCTGCCTTTATAGGGCAATGTTAATGCAGTTAATTTTCTGGACATTATTCCTCAATTCTACAGCTCACAGTACAATAAGACGGCGAGGAATGATGATGGATAACAAAGGTCCTGGGTTGTATTCAGTTCCAGGATGTTATTTGGTTTGCTTTAAAAAAAACAAAAACAAAAAAACTACTACTTTTAACCAGAAATTGCTGTTTTCCACCACGCTGACACAGAAAATTACGTTTTCCCAAACAATAGGTGAAGTCCTGATTTGTCATAGGTGACTCATTGGCTCACTCACCAAGCAGATCTGCTATGACTGATCATGACTCCTGGTCAATGAATAAACTGTTTTGTAATACATGGGAAGATTTAGCGTAAGAGATATTTTGAAATATTTTTTCCATAAATACTTGAGTTCGGGACATTCTATGTAGAGTGAGTGGATCTCTTAGACTGCTGTATGAGTAGTTAAATATGCTTTTCTGATTCTGATGTTAGGATGTTTGTTAGTGTTAAAATGTTTCTTGTTAAAACAGGTAGAATTCCATTTATTCCAGGGCACAGGACTGAATTATAAAAATAATATCATATTTGAGATCATATCTTTAAACTGTATATATATTGTACTGCTTTAATTTGATGTCTTTTTATACTGATTATTTCATCCCAAAGCTATATATATATATATATATATATATATATATATACATACACACACACACACACACACACACACACACACACACACACACACACACACACACACACACACTGTATCAGTTTACTACTTAAAGGTAAATAAAATGGGGAGACTGTATGTTATGGTGCTAATCTACTCACCAGTTGGAACTCGGAGCGTCGTGCGTAGGCCTCCTGTATGCCGGTGTCTGCCCAGAGTGTGCTCAGTGCCATCACATACAGCTGAAATTCACTTGGCTCGACCCCTGAGCCGCCCACACGTCCCTCCCACGACATCACCAGCATGCCCTGCTTCTCGTTCTCACAGCTCTGCCAGCTGATGCCCAGCTTGTCCCGGGCGTCTACCAGCACACGCATGCCCTGCAGAAACACACACAAGTGCATATATAAAACTTTATGTGGTAAAGTGGTGTAACAGTTGCTATTTCTAATGTCAGCAGTATTGTACAACTATGTCCTGACCACACAGAGGAAAGAAAAATCATACTGCATGAGCTGCTTCCTGGGAAAAAACATCAACACTGAGTCTAGCGTTACTGATAAACATGAGGTAACACACACTCAAACATATGCATGTGTAGCTGGTGGTGGTTTTCTAAAGAGAACCATGTGGAAAGATCTGTGTGGGAGGTCTCCTGAGTGATCAAACTAACCAGCACACAGAGACAGATATTCAATGTTCTGTGTCTCCTTTTCTCTCTGTATTTTTATTAAACCTTTTAATAAAATCTATTCCTCTTCATTGTTCCGATTCAGCATATCATGATCTGTTTGGCAGCAAATTTGCTTTTGGTCTATTTTGCTGCTTATTGATCTGTAAAATCCATTTCTTTGCTTCTATTTGTATAGCTTAATAATTTACTTCAACTTAAGCATTTTTCACAGCATCTTAAAGTTCAGAATCTGACGTATTTTTACAGCCTGTTTGCTTGATTTATTGATTTAGATAACAGAGGACTCACCAGCAAATAATATCAGTGAGTGTCTCAAAGGTCACAGGAGGTTAAGAGATGTGAGTATATGTGTGTTTCAGTGAGTCATAACCACCTAACGCCAGTGCAATAGTCAAGTCTGGTCAAGTTTATTTGTACAGCTTAATATCGCACTCAATGGGTTTACAGGCCCACAACATGAACAACTGCCAACCCAGCTCAACTGTCTCTACAAAGACGAGGAAAATCCTCTGAAAACCTCAAGCAATGAAAAAATTCAAAAAGGATGGGTGTGCAACAGGAGATCAGGGTTTGAAAAAGGCGATTACAAAAATAACTTTCTCACTAATGCAGCTGCTGTGTGTGTGTGTGTATGCTTGTGGTGTGTGTGCAGTCTGACTGGGATGCTCCTTTGTGACTAAGTGGTGTGCGTTTTTCAAGTCTGATCCCTCATTTAAGACTTTATCTTTTCAGAATTTATGTTTTTGTTGCTACAGTAGGAATGAGTAAGACTGACGAAACCTAAAACAACAGAACTTGTTGTTTACACATAGACACACGTAACCATAATCTGACACACATGCAGATCGAACACCACCATGTTGGCAGAAAAAAATAAATAAAAATATATACTGAGTCGCTGTGAGTGAGCTTTGAGTCACATCCATTCATGATTATTGTCTATATAACCATCTACATTGTTTCTGTCTGTGAGCCAACCTGAACCTTCAATCTGTGTATTGTAGCACAATCCCCCATAGTCATGTCTGTCTCTCTTCCTGTATGCCTGCATGTTTGTATGGCTGCCTGTCTGTAATCAGTCAGTAAGAGTGTTTCCAGTCAGCATGTCTGTTTCAAAGGCCCTTCCAAAACAGTTTGAGGGTTCCTGAAACAATTTGAACATCCACTAAATCCTCCTGACGGAGTATACTGGCACCTTTATGCCCAGCCATGGAGGGGAAACAGACTTTGAGAAAAGACCAGCCTTGGTATTTGCCTCTGGTCACTGGCCCTCACTAGTATCTCACCACATGGGGCTAGAAAAACATGCAAATCTGATGTCTGAACTGAGGACTTGTATCCTCACAGTCATGACGTGATCAATAACTTTATTGACATGACAAAATGGCACCTCCTCTTAATGACATTATTTGCAGCCAACTACGGTTGCAGCAGGCTGGGACTGCAGATGGCTCAGTTTTTTATCACTATTCTGTAATTAAAACGTAGCTCCCTTCCTACATTAATGTTATCACTGCCTCCCTCCTCTAACACAGTGCCTGCCTTAAATGTACTCCAACACTCAACACGGGGAGACAAAAACATCCAGACCAGGTGACCAGAGCCTCTCCCCCCTGCTCTGTAACAAACACGCAATATGTAGTAATTAACCTCTTCAATCTGTACAATTAAATCAACAGAAACAGCCGCAAAACCCACAGGACTTTATTTCAAACTCTAGTTGTGATCCCAAAGTTTATGAAGATGCCAAATATGCCGAGTTTTGGGGCGTCAATAACTTAAATGAGGAGAGGCTGAAATTTAATTAAACAATATACTGTATATGAAACTAACAATATGATAGATGATTTTTGTTTCTTTTACCGTAAAGCTACTTAAAGGGAAATAAAAGGAAACAGGGTGATAAGGTACTAAGACCAACAAGCTGTTCAAACTGTGAACTTGAGTTACCTCCCTTGGTTGGTTAATGTTTGGGAAAATGCTTGGTTAAACAGTAATGATAGACAAACAAGGGCAGATCAGAGAAATGGAGATAAGAAAAACTCAAAACAGCTTGAGAATCAGTGATTACTGAATCCTTCGAAGTGTAAAATTGTTCCACTAACCAATTCTTGATGTACGAGGCTTGACAGAGTCGCATTAGGACCAGCAGTTTTTTAGTTTCACTTTAATTTGTGAGAAAGAAAAAAAAAATCCACTCTGACAAGGCTCATACCAGAGATTTAGCTGATGGAGGTATAATTACTGAGATTCAAGGAGTGGGACCATGCCTGAACTCCACCATCTTATTTATTTTAATAAGCCTAATTATGCTACACACCTGTGTGTTCTTTCAGCTGTGTCCCTCTTACCATCCCTGTTTGTTTTCAGTCTCTATCATTAAGTTCCCATGGGGGGGGGGGTCCTCCACCAACGCTACTGTTAAGGTATCATCCCACTTTACGGATCTCAGCTTTTAAGTGCTAAATGCAGTATTCCTTAGCAATTTTTATGTCTTATGTGCAGTGGGGATGTGTTGTTTACACAACTGAATCATGTATCTTCTTCTCTAGGTTTATACTGGCCAATGATGTTGTTAAAGATTTAAACAACCTTAAAAACCAGTTAAGGTTGCAGTCCATAAAAGTACCAATTAGTCATGAGAATAACTGAAAGATTAATTAGTAATGGAAATAATAATATTAATAATGTTGTCGCTGTTTTATTTAAGTGTAAACTGACTTTTGTGTTTAAGTCATAATTGTTGTTTCAGCAAATCAAGTGTTTTCACGAAGATGAATAATGACAGGGTTGTCAACGGATAACAGGCATGTAGTATCATGTTTTTACACTGGCTTGAATGCACTTACTACTTTATGTGGGCAGGCTCAAATGCTGCATTTCCAGTCATGTGATTTCTAGCAATTTCTGCCTCTCCTACGTCCTCCCACACATAATGCATTGTGTGTGTTTTAAGGAGGTTAAATGGTGGTGAAAATGTGTGTAAGGTGGGAGGTTCTGTTCATGATAGGTCCCGAGACAGCACTGCCACTGTATGTATGCTGGTATTCAGAGGAGGGTATTGTATACTGCCTTGTCTGTAGAAGTGCAGGCTCTTATCATCCTTGTCTGGCTGTGTGGCACTTAGGGCGGATGTGCTCATCCCTCAGGAATAGTCTGGTATTGTTAGCTGGTGAAGGAGGCCCAGCCAGGACAGCAAACAAAGGGACAGCACACACACATGCATGCGCGCACACACACACACACACTTCACTTTAGGATAAAAATATGTACTATGTCAACAAACTTGTGTGTGAAACTCTGTGTGTTTCAGTGAGTATGTGTGTGTTGGTGAATGAACCTCAACTGTGGGATTAAAATGTCAATATTAGAGGGGCAAATAACCTTTTTTTCCCCCTACTGATTAATCTGCTGATTGGTTTCTTAACAAATCAACAATTGTTAGGTCTATAAAATACCAGAAATAGTGAAAAATGCCCATCACATGTCCCCACATGTCCCAGAGCCTAATTTGAAATCTGCTTGTTTGCTTGACTGTCTGAAAAACAGGTTCCATGATGAAAGATAAAGAAAAACATTAAATCTTCAGATTTGAGACGCTGGAACTAATAAATGTTTGGCAACGTTTGTTACTGATTACCTTTCTAATTGATTAATTGATAATCGTCTCTGCTCTAGTCAATATGTCTACCAGGCCTGTCAGTTTCTCCTTGACAGCTTTTATACGTTTTAGAAAAGAGTTCTCAAGAAACAAAATAACAATTTCCAAAAAACAAGAACAAACAGACAAAAACAGGAGTTAACATCACAGATTATAAATCTGGTCACTTCGGACTCCAAGGGTTGTAAAGTTTTGCCTGAAGGCCCCAGGCTCTTTATTTTCCATGAAACCTTGTTCTTACCTTCAGTATATTCTCATAGATAGTGTCCCGGAAATCCAGAAGTGCTTTTTTATCAAACTCTTGTCCGTTAATAATGCGCATCTGTTTGAGGAATGTGGACTTTCCGCTCTCTCCGGCTCCGAGCAGGAGGATCTTCACCAGCCGCCGGACGGCTCTCCTCTCCCGGGCGAGCATCGCGTCTATCTCCCGGCTCCTGCGCCGCGCCTCCCGCTCCTGCGCCGCGTCACTCTCCCGGCTCCTCTCCTTGCTGCTGCCCGCGTCCCGGCTGGCGTCAGACGGGAGCAGGCAGCGGCTCAGGGTGCGGACCACTCCCGACATGGCGAGTCGTGGGAAAAGTTCACCGACACTTCAGTGGGAAAATGTTCATTATAGGACGTAACCTCTGGGGTGGAAATGACCCAGTCTGGTTACATCCAGTTGATAAAAAGGCTACAACGTTTACAGTAGACAGTTAAATAAAGTCTAAATTTAAAGGGTAAAGGCGTTATCTAGTCTCCAACCGGCAGACAGCCCGTGTCCATCTTGGTTAAACCGCGCCATCCACAAGAATCTATCCGGATAGAGAGGGAACAAAGCCGGTAAATGTTCACAAAGTATTTTAAAAAGTTTCCTGCAGTCCCTGCTGACAGGAGAAAAGATACAAAGTTGATCAAAAGTCGGTCCGACCATCCAAAGCAAAACAAAAGTTCGGGCCACGCAAAAACACGCTGGAACAGCCTATTTAACCCAAACTCTGCTTACACAGCCAGCGGGTGTGTGAACTTGAGCAGAGGAGTGAGAGCAGCCCCTCCGGGCGGCGGTGGGACGGTCAGACTGTGGGGAGGGGGCCGGTGCTCTACCGGAGATCACCGTCTGGGGACGCCAGCGGACACAACGTAGAGGACCGGGGTCAGCGGCAAAGTGGGGTGTCACATATGGTGCCTATATAAGCAACCCTTTTTTCGCTGACCATATAGGCTAAGAGGAGGTGCCATTTTTAAAAAGTTGTTGTTTGTTTCTGTTTTTGGATCCCTATTAGCTTCTGTTATAGACCTAGCTTTCTAATCTTCCTGAGGTCAACACATTGAAAAGAAAAGTCCAAATTAAACATTAGTAAAATCATGAAATTAAATAACCTACAAGACAGCTGTTAATCATAATGTAACACAAACAAGCCATTAACACACAACTATTAATAATATCAATAATTGGTTAAAATTACTACATATAGGCTTATTATAAATAAAATAAAATTGAGTGACAAATGGCAGATGAACACAACAATACAGCTGCATTTAAGTACACAACCATCAATAAAAGTCATGAAATGTTCAGTGTTTCTACAATGCTGTTGCTAGCAACAAAGGGCAAAGGTCAAGACTTTGGTAAGACTGACCAAATTCTATTTTACTTTACAGGGAACCACTACTGTTTTACTGCTTAGAGAGCTTTATCATTTTGAGCTACTGGGTACTACTTTGCAGTTTCAAAAGTCAAGGTATTTTAAAGTTAAACCTAAGGTTCAGCCCACCCACCAAATAATTGTCATACTGGAAACTCTAAATGACAAAATGATTGTTGAAATAATTCAGGATACTGGAGTAAAGAATTGCATGCATCACCTTAAAAGTATTTGTTTGAAGCAAATTTCTGTGCTCTGAACTTTAACAGCTCAGATTCATCTTGAAATCCTCAGAATGGATATTTCTGGTTGAATCAGTGTGATGCTTAGATGTTTTATTACAGAAAGTGTATGAAACCCATGACTAAAATACTCATAAGTAACAGTGACAGCACTGTTACTTATTATACTAATGATAGTGAAAACAAATAATTCCCCTTTTTGCTGGGGACCCCCTGGAACCCCCTCAAGGACCCCTGGGGGTCCCTGAACCCCACTTTAACAACCACTGATCTATACAACATACAACGTACATCAATAAAGACTACAAGTAATGATGAGGGCCTTCATTACAGGCCTGCAGATCAAACTTGGTTGTATTTGCAGTTTTCAAGTGTGAATGTGATCAAGGCATTGCTAAAAAGCACCACTGTCAGTGAAACTTACTCAGTTAAATAAGGGTTATAATAAATTGAGTCGTTATGAGGTTGGCTCTAAACTGGTTTCTCAACAAGTGTGTATGTGTATGTCTCCACACTTTCTCTTCTCCTGTCAAACAGCCAGACAAGCCAAAGCATCCATGCCTGTACAAACCAGTCCGTGTCTCTGGGGAAACTTGAGCGTCTCACTCAGCCAAGGCAACAGGAGACCCTCTGCTTGACAGCCTCCCTGCCAGAGGAACTAATCAGCCACAGGATCCAGACTGTTTCAGGGCCAGTTTAACTACAAGAATAATCTGCCTCACAAACGCCAGTTGGGTCCGCAGACCTTGAGCACTCCAGCAGACTCCTTTCTGCCCACCAACTGTCTGTTGTAAGCAAGATGGAGACTGTGAGCCAAAGGAAGTGGACCCAGCTGAAGCCAGCCAGCTGGATGAATCCGCCGACATGGAGGTGGGAAGTTGTGAGGAGGAGTGAGGTCCACCAGAGAAAATCCATTTGGATACACTGAAATTGGCATGGCCTCATCTAAACCTTACTTAGACACCAGCACCATAAGACACATTTTCTTCTACAAAACATCCCAATTGAGTCATTTCATATTAAATCCATTGTTTTCAGTTATTGCTAAAGCCATGGGAGCAGATGTCATCAAAGTTAGAGAAGGGATTGTGTTCCCTGAATATTAATTAATCAGCCATTAAAAAATAATAAATTTTTTTGGCATAATATTGCACTGACTATGCTGACTATTTTCTATCTTAATGTATCACAACTGTTTTCTTTTCATCATAAGAGATTTTATTATTATGCCCACAATATAAAAAAAAGTGATGAATTAAAGGTTATGAAACAGCAAATGTATGATTACATTTAAGACAAAGTTTTAAACGTTATTAATTCCCAAACATAAGTGTATATTAATATATTTTAGGTGCTATCTAATCAAACTTCAAAACTGCAGTAATTGAAGACGACAGAATAAAATTGGAGGTTGCATTTCTGCAGAAGACCAGAATCATAATTGGGTTTATTGCCAAGTAGGTCTTCACATACAAGGAATTTGCTTTGGTACATAGGTGCATAACAATTAACAAGTAAGAAATACAATCTGTATATATATATATATATATATATATATATACACACACAATGAAAAGAGCTGTACAGTTGTGCAGGGATGTGCAAAATATTGACCAAAAAATATTCAAATGTTTACAGTATATAAAGTCTAAAGAATATGTGCAACGCACTAATAATAATGATAAAGTACTGAGATGTAAAGTGTCTATGAGGGGTGTAAGATCCCCCCAATGACAAGGACTCTCCTTGTCATTGGGGGAACTGGAAGACGGGAAGAAGCTGTTCTTGTGGCATGAGGTTTTGGTCCTGATGGAACGCAGTCTCCTGCCAGAGGTGAGTGTCTGAAACAGTCTGTATCTGGGGTTGGAGGGGTCATCCACAATCTGTCCTGCTCGCGGCAGAGTCCTGGAGGCATACAGATCCTGGAGGGATGGTAGATTGCAGCTAATCAACTTTTCAGGAGAGCGAACGATCCACTGTCAACTGCCCTTGTCCCTGCAATGGCAGCAGTGTCCCAGATGGTGATGGAGGAGGTGAGGATGGACTCACTGATGGTGGCATAGAAGTGCACTATCACTGAGTTTGGCAGATTGAACTTTTGTAGGAAGTACATCCTCTGCTGGACTTTCTTTGTATTGGAGCTGATCAACTCCCACTTGAGGTCCTGGGTGATGATTGTGCCCAGGAAGTGGAAGGACTTCCTAGTCGACACTGTGGAGTCCTTCCGCATTCTAAACACTTGGAGGAAAATATTTTCAATATATCTTAAATTTGTGGATAGCAAATATGGCCCATGCATTTGTGCTAGACTGATAAAGTATGAGGAAAGAAAAGCTGAAAAATCAAGAATTTATTCAATGCTCATTTCCTCAGAATACTAAAAAACATTATAATCCTCAAATCTGAAGCACAAAATAATTGAATGTGTGTCAGTTGAATGTAAAAGTTATTTACAGACCCATTTTTCCATTGTTAGTGTGACCAAATGAGCCCAGGCTCTAATAACTCCACACAATTGTCTCGTCAAAAAATTGCATATTTAGTGTTTTGTACTTCCAATTATTTGTGGCAGAGGTGGTTGACTTGCTCTTGACAGCACCTATAAGTTGCTCTCTGATCCACAGTATCCACCCAACTCGTTACAATTAATATTTACTTGATTACCCTTATGTTATGTATTATGTCATTTGTATTTGTCTGTCCTGGAGGAGGGTCCCCTATTCCTGTGGTTTCTTTCCAAATCGAGGGTCTATGTTGTACAGGTTTTAAAGTCCTTTGAGACAAATTTATAATCTTGGGCGAAATAAAATTGATTTGATTTGACTTTGTACTTTTTTTAAAATCAGAGTCAGTCAGAGTTTTAAAATCAGTCAATCTAAAGAACTTTTTTTTAAATGTCAAATCAAAATGACATTCTGTTGCAATATTCCTTTCCCTGGACAGAGGGCGCTGTTAGATCAGATTTAAAAATACAAAGCAAGCTGCTGCCTCTCCTAAAATAAATTTGGATTAAAAGAGAAAAGCATGTGAGAGATGTTGAATGAAATGTGCTGTCAGCAAGCAAGGTATCAGCAATGAACCAGGAAGAGGCCGTGTAAGTCACGCTCAGAACACCATGTTCTTAATTGACTCGATCATGGAGTCCAGTGTTATGGAAGACATCACACACACACACACACACACACACACACACACACACACACACACACACACACACACACACACATAAGAACAAGTTATTCTATTAAAATGATCCTTAATTGAAAAATCCAACGGCAGCTGCTGTCTACTGAAACCAGTTTGTGTCTGCACATAATATTTGCGCGTATGAGGAGGGGAGAGAGATGTAAGCGCAAGATTAAAATTCATCTAGATAGCAGCACACTCTTCTCATGTAATTAGCCTAAAAGCCTTTTCATCAGGTTTGGAAGAACACTCACACACAGATGCACACACACACTAATGGACACCACCAGAGTCTGCTTATACCCACTAATATTCTACATTCACCTCTTAACACTACTGGAAAAGGCATCTGTGTAATGGCACCATTGCCTTGGTGTGTGTTTTGTGTTTGTATGAGTTATTTATATGCTAATGAATCTGGAAGGGCATGTTGAGTGGTGTGAGCGTGTGTGTGTGAGCGTGTGTGTGTGTGTGTGTGTGTGTGTGTGTGTGTGTGTGTGTGTGTGTGTGTTGGAGAGGAAGGCAGGAGTAGCTACAGCCGGAGAACAGATGGCGGAGGAGAACCTTGAAGATGTACGTATGTTGCCTTTATGCTTAAAGTCATAACAACACAGCTGCAGCTCCATCCTGAACTATGCTTACCCCCCCAATCCTCTTCCCTGTTATTCCCACCCCACTCTGATGAATTATTGTTATTCAGACACACTGTCTGAATGCCTTTCTGGCTTGAGGTACTCTGGCACGAAGCGCACCTTTTGTACCTGACTGAAATGCCAAATGCAGCTGTTAGCAATGACTGACGGGCCCACACTCCAGTCAGCGCAACATGCCTCTCTTCTTCCCTCTCTAATGGCAGCACTGCTCTCACTGCTCGATGTCAGAAAGATGAGCAGGCTGACTGGCACTCAGTGTAAGGGATTTGCAACTTTTGTTTGTTTTTGAATTTCAATGTTTT